GAGCCATGCTATTCAAACATGGAAAGGACTCCTTTGGGGCTGAAGCGTTCTCTCTCACTATTGATTTTACTTCGACTGGGGATGGATGTCCAAGTGCTGCAGTGTTGTGAGTCTCCTTCAAGGGTCCTTCGAGCCCAGAGACAGATTGAGGGATCTGAATGGCAACTGGAGCCTCGCCTTACAGAAATGTTGCCCCAGTTGCATCCTCTCTCAAACACTGCCTCCTCTCTGGTCACTTAATCCAGGTAAGGGAGATGATGTGGCATAGTGGAGCTCAGGCTTCGGAAAGACTGGCCAGATTTCTAACGACACAATCAGTGGTATTGTCGGCTGATTGCATAACATCCCTGAGCCCAGTGTCCTCATGCAAAGACAGGATGGGGAGGCTTGAATTAGAAGGTTCTTTTCAGGTTAAATAAAATAATAATAATAATAGCAAAGATGTCATATATAGATCCTTAATACATAGCTTGAATTAGAAGGTTCTTTTCAGGTTAAATAAAACAATAATAATAATAGCATATATAGATCCTTAATACACAGCAGGTGTTTAATAATTTGTGTTGCTATTATTATTTTTACCTCTATTTAAAAAAAAATTTATTGATTGATTTTTAGAGAGAAGAAGAGAGAGAGAAACATCGACTTATTGTTTCACTTATTTATGCATTCACTGGTTGTTTCTTGTACATGCCCTGACTGGGGATTGAACCCACAACCTTGGTATATTGTATTGGGATGATGCTCTAACTGAGCTACCCACCCAGGGTCTAAATCCATTTTCTTAAAACAAGCAATTTGTCCTTACTTCTGCTCTGTGGCCCTTCTGGTTCAGACTGAGAAGCAATTCTGTTTCTCAGCCTTCAGAGTGTGCTGCACTCAGGAAGAGACACAGCCAGGCCAGGGAGAGAGGCAGCCCCCTTGGGGGACCAGGGTGCCTGGTGACCCAAGGCAGCACTTCCTTGCTTTGGCAGCTCTGTTGCCTAACACCAGCTGACCTCTCTGGTGACCTGTGCTTTGAAGGGAAGCAGCAGAGCCAAGCAGAGTCCCTCCCTGTGGCTCAGGGAGACAGTGCCCTTCAGCTCCCACATGTAGGACACTCAAGGTCAATAGCTTCCTCCTAAGCTTCTTCCCTGTGAAAAGGCCCTTTAAAACGTAGACACAGTAGACATGCCTGCCTGTTACTCTTAGGGTGTAACATGGGGGTCATATTACATCTTTTCTGATATTATCTCTGAAGGAGGACCAACTTTCACTCTCAGAAAATCACTTTGTTCTCCTTTGACCTTTGTAATTTTTTAAAAAAAACATGCTTTTATTGATTTTAGAAAGAAAGGAAGGGAGAAAGAGATAGAAACATTGATGGGAGTGAATCAACATTGATCAGCTGTCTCCTGCACGTCCCCCAACTGGGATCGAGCCTGTAATCTGGGCATGTGCTCTGACTGGGAATTGAACCAGTGACCTTCTGGTTCATGGGATGACGCTCAACCACTGAGCCACACCAGCCGCACTGTAATTTGTTTTTAAAGACCATGTAGCACTGGCTCTGCCACTTTCTAGCCGTGTGACCCTGAGTAATTACTTCACTGCCTTAAACTTGTTTCTTCCCCTGAAGAATGACTTCTTGCAGGACTCATTGTGCCAGTTCAATAAGCGACTATTGTTCCCCCGCCACAGTAAACAGGGCAGTAAACAACCAGCAAATCATGATCAACCCTTTCGCGTGATGAGGACCTTATTGAAGCTCAGAAGTGTCTCCTGTCCTCCGTGGCCCTTAAGACAATCATGGTCTTCCTCCTTTTCTTCACTGCGATCAAGAACTAGTTTTTTACATTTGAAGGCATCGCATTTCTCTTTGGCCATGAAGCCCCACCCTGGGCACAGTATTCCCAGATATCTGAGCCCTACGCTTGTAACTGGAAGTCTGCCTGCTCGGGAGTTATATTTCCAGTGTATTATATTTCTATCCTGGGTCCTTCCTCTTGTAAAACAAATCAATCATCTTCTAACTCCCGCTCAGCTTATTCACTCTGACCTCTGGACTTTTGTCATCACAGTTGCACTTAGCAGGAAATCCTCCTGCAGCCCATGGGGTTTGGCCTGCGCCTTTTCTCAAAGGTTTCGAATATTGTGCAGCTTTATTACGCTTTGCAAAGTACTTTCCTATACTTCATCGCGTTGGAATCTAGCAAATCCCTTTGGCCTTACCTTAATTTTCCTGCTCAGAAAATGGAAACTCAGAGAAGTGATGTTCAGGCTGCCTCCCTGTTCTCTAATGAATGGCTTATGCATGTGGGCCCCAGAGCAGCTGTCTGCCTGGGCTGGAGAGAACACCAAGTCCTGAGGGCCAGCTGTGCTCCCTGCCAGCAGTCAGGGCTCATTTTAATGACTGACTTGATAAAAATGGAACCAAAGGCCCAGCCGGGGTGGCTCAGTGGTTGAGTGTCGACCTATGAACCAGGAGGTCAGGATTTGATTCCCAGTCAGGGCACATGCCTGGGTTGCAGCGGGCTTGATCCCCAGTAGTGGGTGTGCAGGAGGCAGCCGATCAGTGATTCTCTTTCATTGTTGATATTTCTATTTTTCTCTCCCTCTTACTTCCTCTCTGAAATCAATAAAAATATATATTTTTTAAAAAATGGAACCAAAGCCAAGCCAGAAGAATCCCATACATTTTCTGGGTCATAAAGCAGTTTTACATACACTGTGATGAATTGGATGTACCCAGTCTTGAGAGTCAGCCCCAAAAGTAAACTGAGGACACAGGCTCTTCCTACTTCCCCACCCTTCCTGCTGTTCCAGCCCACCCTTCCCTGCATTAGTGCTGCCTCTACCTCCCCAGACCTGGAACAGGACGTGGTCAATACAGGTTCATTAAATTTGCATTGAATTGCACTGCAGAGAGACAAAATTTCTTCTACTAGTTCACCAGCTTCTCCTTGTTAGAGGAGTCACAGTCCCATCTCAGGGATGGGAACAGAAATTAGAGGTGGTGGCTTTGTTCTTTGGGTAGCACCTCCGCTCAGACCATTGCTTAAAACCACTCCTCATTCTCAGTCACACTCATGCCTGTCATTCACTGGGATGTAAAAAAAATGCGGGGGGGGCAGGTGAGGAGTAGGAAAGGAAAAGTTCTTGACAGGAGCCTAGAGGAAACACTGGGGAATCACCCCCTCACTCCTGGTTAGGAATTATCCTCCTACTAAATAGAGCCCTCAGTGGATTTTCAACATAGTGATGCCTTTTTCAGATACTGTTTTGGTTAATTTAAAATTATTAGAAGCAAGTCTTTTGCTAAACATCCTTGGGATAGGAAAATCTATTTTAAACCAACAAATGTCACCGAGTATTTCCTATATGCAAGACAGAGTATGGTGAAGAATAAGAATCTCACTCACTCACTTACACCTTTGGAATAGCACAATTCTTTGTATTTGGAGCACTGGAAAGCTGGCTTCTGCTCTACTGTACCTATCACACCAGTTTATAACTGTGCAGTATTTTATATTCTAGAAAAAACGTCACTACATCCATACTGATCCTTGCAGAGGAGACCAAGACCCTGAGGACAGGAGCTTCTCAGAGTCACACATCCATTCATTATTGGTTCTAGGACTAGAATTCAGGTCTTTAGGCTAAGATAACAGGAAACATTATTCCATCATGAAAATAGTTTTAGATAAAAAATAACACCTTACTCATTTATCTGTCTGTGAGGTTCCCTTAAGCCCCCAAATGTTAATTGCCCTTTTTAGGAATTTTCTAAACAACTGTTAGGTCCACACCAGAGTTGAGCATAACTGAATATCCTCTCACAAGACCACCAGAGTGGTTGCTCATACTTGGGATGTGAAACACATCCTTACTCTATGGGACCTTCCATAGTCCCAACCAGCCACCAAGCCGGGAGCCCACCTCCAGCCCAAACACTTGCTTTTCTCAACTTACCTGCCTGTTCGGTCTCTGTCAGCTCAACTGAGTAAGGAGGGGCTAACGTCCTTTTAAATATATGGAGGCCTTCGCCAGCCTTGGCCTGCAGAGGGAAGGGCGGGAGGGAGGCTGAGGGGAGACACGAGTAACACAACTGCTATCAGAGGCTGAAAATAGCCTGTGACCAAAGCCCTGCGTTTTGTTCCCCCCACACCAGCTGTGGGGCCCTTGGAGAACAATATTGCTTCTGTTTTCATTGCCAATCGCCTATGGCGCCTAAGGGATCAATTTGTGGAGTGTAAATTTCTGATCAATTGGTTGGACCAGGAACAAACGCAAAGAAGGAATTTATGTCCAAAATCATTTTTCCAGGCTCCTACTCCTCTGACCTTTCTGGAAATCAATGCGAGGTACCTGCAAATGAATCATGAGCCATATCTGGGAGCCCTCTTGAACTCCAAGGCACAGGTCAGTACACTCGTGAAGAGAACTCAGAGCTAAAAATAAGAGTGATGGGTGTCTGAAACAATCCTTAGACACACTCTTCAAAGAAGCTTGGGGGGAAAGCTCAGTAATCATCAGGGTCCCGTTGCTCCATGGCCCACTATTCTAGGAAAAAAAGCTCTCTCTCAAAAGTTTTGAGTTACTTTGCACACCATCTTTTCTACTTAAGAATTTAACCCGAATAAAAAAAAAAATTAAAAAAAAAAAGAATTTAACCCGAAAGGCATCATATTTATGACCAGTTTTTATACGTCTCTGTAAATCCACATTTTCATTGGAGGTTTAATTTCTTTTTGCCTGGTATGCACATATTTTGGATCAAGCATCAAGGACTCACATGAATTGTAGAATTTGATAGTTGACAAGAAGTTCAGAGATTTAATAAACTAATTCTTCACGTTATGGCTGAGGTAACCTACTTCCTCAAGGCCAGACAATAAGCCATTGGCAGGTTCCAGATTGCAGTTCAGGTCATTTGTCCCTCAGGTGAAGGCACTTTCCACTAATGTTGACCGGGATGTTGAGATTAGATGTAGGTAGTTCCTAATTGAAAGGTGTATATGTAAAATTAATATTAGTTCAGATCAGCCATATTAGCCCTTTAGTTATAGGCCCACAAAAAAAATTGGTTGAGTTATAGACTATTTCACTGTAAAAAGGTTGTGTTAATTTCACAAATATGAACATAGTACAACCTATGAAATATCCTTGGTCTATGTTTTCATGCAAAAGTCTTCATCATAGAAATGGGGAAATGGTGAGTACTCTAAAATGTTAAAGTTATAAGGGACTTTAGAAGTCTCCTAGAATAGCAGCTTTCAAATTTCAAATGGTTTTTTAGAATGATAATACTTTTCTTTCTTATGTTAAATGGAACTTCAATATATAAAGCTGATAAAAGAGGAACTTACCTGCTAAAAATAGGTGGTCTATCCTATATAAAAAAAGGGTAATATGCAAATTGACCCTAACAGCAGAATGACTGGAAATGACTGGTCACTATGACACACACTGACCACCAGGGGGCAGATGCTCAACGCAGGAGCTGCCCCCTGGTGGTCAGTGCGCTCCCACAGGTGGAGCTCTGCTCAGCCACAAGCTAGGCTGTCGGCTGCCAGTATAGCAGTGGTGGTGGGAGCCTCTGTCGCCTCCTCACTCCACCTAAGGATGTCCGACTACAGTTTAGGCCTGCTCCCTGCTGGCAAGTGGACATTCCCCCGAGGGCTGCTGGGCTGCCAGAAGGATGTCTGATTGCCAATCCCCCAGGGAACAGGCCTAAGCTAGCAGGTGGTCATCCCCTGAGGGGTTCCCAGACTGTGAGAGGGCACAGGCTGGGCTGAGAGAACAGCCTCCGAGGGGTCCCAGACTGGCGGAGGGCACAGGCTGGGCTGAGGGACCTCCCGAGTGCACAAAATTCGTGCATGGGTAGAGTCCCTAGGCCTGGCCAGCAATCAGGGCCAATGGGGACCTTCCGGCTGCCGGCCAGGACCTTCCTCCCCCTGGCTGACCTTTCTCCCCACAGCTGCCGGCTGCTGGCCAGGGCCTTCCTTCCTTGGCTGCTGGCTGTCGGCTGGGGCTTTCCTTCATTCCATGCCACCCCTGGTGGTCAGTGCACATCATAGTAAGCAGTCGAACTCCCGGTCCGTAGAACTCCCGAGGGGACAGTTTGCATATTAGCCTTTTATTATATAGGATTATTTCTGGAGCCAGGAAATTTGGGTTTGACTATAATGTCTCTGGCTCTTTTTTAAAAAAAAGCATTTCTAATTATATAGCACAGGAGAACATTTTTATTATGAAAGACTAAACAATAAGGATGTGTTTAGGGTAAAATGTGAAAATTTCCACCCATAATCCTACTTGCCTTCCTAGAGTTAATAACCGATAATATTTTGGGTTTTACTAACTTGAGCCATCTTTTAAAAGGGGATCTTAACTCATTCACATTTATAGCGATTTTGGATACATAAGGAATTATTCCTTTCATCTTATTTTGTTCTATTTTTATAATGTTTCCTTTTTCTTTTATGGCCTTTTAATAATGGTTGTAATTGTGCCATATTTTTCTCTAATGAATTAGAAATTATTCTCTTCCTCTAATTTAAAAACTAATGTTATAATAAATATTTTTATTGGCATCTAGATTTAATTGGTAGTTATATTCTGTTTCTTCCATGAGATGAGAAACTTTTAAGAACCTTAGCACACTCTTACCATCACCACGTTGCCCTCTTCCTTCATGTTGACCTTGGAAATACACACCTGCCCACCACCTTCCATGTGCACATCATCTGAGATTTTAGTTCCAGGTTGTAATTCATTTTGTTCATTATGCATCAGTGGTTATTTGAACCTAATTATACATTTTACTGCTTTCTTTATATTACATTTTAAATTCTGAGAGGGTGAGAGAGAATCCATTCTTTTATTATTAAATTTATTGGGGCAACATTGGTATGCATTCTTGATAAATCCATTGATAGAGTCTCTGTAAATGAACTAAATTCTCACATAATTGAAAAGGGTCTTTCTATTAGTTTACTAGAACTGCTATAACAAACACCCTACACTAGGTGGCTTAAACATAAAAATTAATTTTCTTACAATTCTGGAGGCTGGAAGTCCAAGATCAAGGTATAAACAGGGTTGGTTTCTTCTGAAGCTTGTCTCCTTGGCTTGTAGACGATCATATTCTCCACATGTTTTCATAAGTTCTTCCCTCGTGTGTGTCTATGTCCTAATTACCTCTTCTTATAAGGACACCAGTTACGTTGTATTGTGACCCACTCATATGACTTCATTTTATTTTTAAAGGAAATGCCTTCAAATACAATCACATTCTGAGGTACTGGGGGTAGGACTTCAACATATGAATGTGGGGGAAACACAATTCAGCCCATAACAGCCTTAATTTTGCCTTACACTTGGATGCTAGTTCAACAGTCTCTAGAGTTGTTCTGTTCAATACAACAGCCAGAGGTCACATGTGGCTATTTACATTGAAATTATGTAAAACTTAAAAAAATTAAAAATTCAGTTCCCAGTCACAGTTGCCATATTCCAAATGCCCACACATGGCTAGTGCCTACAAATTGAACAGCCTAGATAGTGCATGTTTCCATTACTGCAGATGTTTCCTTGAACAGTACTGCTGAGCATCTTCATCTGATAAATGAAGCAAATCCCTTTGGACTCTATGAAGAGCAGATACTAGTAAGCATGTGATAGATACATAGCAGCGTGCTCAATCAATATTAGCTGAATGTTGACTCAGCAGTAAGTGAATTGTAAGATTAAGACTAGAACCCACTCTTCTCTGTCCCATTATTCCAGAACAACCATAAATGAGTAAGCCATTGAGAAATGTAGGACATGAAGAAGATTGGGCAAGAGAGTGAGGTGGAGCAATGAGTACAATCTTAAACACATGCCTTAAAACATGACTTTTATACCCCAAGTCAGAATAAAGATTATTCTACTTAATCCTCATGAAACTTTGTAAGGAAGGTATTATACCCATTGTCTGAAGGAGAAATGAAATAAATGCAGCTCTGGAAGGCTAAGTAACTTCTCCGAGGCCACACAGTGAGCCAACAGTAAGCCAGTGGCAATGTCAGGCCTCGAATCCACTACTTTTGCTTCATTCCCCTAAAATCACTAAAAACTGGTAAGTCATTTGGAAACACAGATCACTAAGGAGACAGAGAAATTTAAACTCAAATTGAAACCCTTTGACGAATGAACCACAATGGTGGTTCCCCAAATTGTTTGATCATGGTCCCCTCAGTAAACATGTTTGAACAATACACACACATACACGCATATGTACATATGTGTACATATATTTATAAATTATAAAAATTACTGTAATATATACATAATGAAACGTACTCAAAAGGATATACTAAAAATATAGAAATAATTATAATAAAAGTTTCAATTTATTTTCTCATACTCCAGTATTGTGTCACATGCTCCCTCAGGTGCTGGTCCCCTTAAACTTTGGAAACCACTGCTGTACACCATGCCATACAAAGAAGGAACAGGCTGTCGATCACAGAGGCCTGGGAATCTCAGCTTCTATCTGCTCGCCCAGCCACTCTGAAAGGAAACATGATTGGACCTTAATGTGTTCAATATCAGCCACGTTCTTAGCGTTACTAGGGCTCCTCAGTATTTCTGTACACCACGAGCATGACATGTGTCTCTGGTTCTTATTGCAAAGACAGAATTAATTTAAAACTATCATTCAAAGGTTGCTCCTGGCCACGTGTCCATCCATGAAAGGCAGAGAAATGGGTAAAGTCACACTTAAATGTATTAAGATGCTTTCCCCACAAGAGATAAAAATAAATATTGCCATCTTCACTAAAATGAAGTGAGACTTGATGAAACAAATAGCTGAATTTACATGCATCATCCAGATTTTTAAAATTTTTCTTGTTTTTTATGGCCATTCATCACTTGCTGATTATAGTGGTAATGTGTTCTTTACATAATGCTTTCAGCTTAAAAGCATGACCATGTGTTTCCTCTCTCAGGTGTGATCTCTTTCCTCTCTCTGTCCCCCTATGTCTGTTTCTGTTTTTCTCTCAAGCAGAGGAGGATGTAGGT